TGGCATGGGACGTCAGAGGGCCCCGGTTCGGATCCCACATATGAGGGCCAGTGACACTGCCCTCTACAGCTAAGATGCTGAACAACAGCTCAACCAGAAGCCGGCGACTGATCTGCCTCACCCGGGAAGAGTGCAATGATGGTACCAACTTGGGCCAGTGAAGCAACGTCCTCCACAACTAGACTGAAGAACAAGAGGACAGCAACTTGTCTGTTCCCCTTCCCTGATTCCCCAGCGTTGTTCTCCTCCCCCAATTCCCCAATAAAAACAAAGGAAAGTGCAGAATAGTATACATCATAAAATCTACGTAAAATTAATAGAATGAAATAGTACACATGCATGTGTTAACACAGATGTGTTCCAGCTGTGTATGTGCCAGTAACCATGTGGAGCCTTTTCATTGTATAACCGTCCCGACTGTTGGCAAGGCCACCCCTGCATACTCCTGCTGGAATGCCACACATGCCCAGTCCTGACCAGTCTATAACCAGGCCATTTCTCAGGGCTGTATCTGCAGTCACTCTGAGGGATGAAGCAATGTCTCCCTTCAGGACAAAAAGCAGGCTCACTGACCGCCTGCTCGAAAAGAGGAAAATTCCCCAAGCTTAGTGCTCTTCAGGTGTGGGGCCAGCCGGTGGGTGACACCCCTGTGGGACTTGGGGGCAAGGGGAGCTGATGTAGACATAGTGCCCAAGCTGCTGGCTATGACATGACTAATGGATTCCTAGTCTCTGACCCAGGAGTCTCATGTCTTTGTGTCACATTCACTTCTTAGCTTGTGAGTGGGGTACGATCCCAGGCCCTGACATGGACCTGTTTCCTTCATTTCTCAGGAACATGTATGATTACTTTTAAAATATAAAAATCAGTTTGGATTATTTTAAATGAAAGGCAAAACAACAAAACCACACACACTAAAACTCAAAGCTTACAAATTAGAGGAAAGTCCGAAAACAAAGAAGAATATAAAGAACCCTCCACTCATTCCTACCCTGAGAAACTTGGTTAATCCTTCAGTAGGCACCTTTCCAGACTGTTGTCCCTACAGATGTCCACATCTTTATTAGCCTTCTAAAAAAATTAGATCATAGTGTGCAGTGCTTAGCAACCACCTTGATGTTAAGCACTCCACAACTAGGGCCATGGTGGTGACCCCCCCAGCTTCTTGAGAAAGCCTCAAAAGCTCACCAGGGATTGCTTGCAGCTTGCAAAGGTTTTCATAGCCCCCAGGAGAGTCAGAGGCTTCCTCTTGCCCTAGTATTCCAGGGAGCTCTTGGGACAAGAAATTGTGCACCCTGGGTCCTGGCGTAACAGCTTGGGGATCACAAATACAAAGGAAACCATCCTCCCCTATTTCCTCCCTTGCACCCCCTAGTTCTCAAGAGCACATTCCCATCCCCTCGGTTCTGACCCCCTTTCCTATCCCAGCATCACCTCTTGCCGTCCCATGTCCCAGCTAAGATCCAGGAATCCCCATTCCAGACTCCCTGCCCCCACACTCCCAATTGCCTCAGCTGAGGTCCCAGGGTCCCAGCTGAGACCCCAGAGCCCCTGGCACCATCTCAGACCCCAGAAAGAGTGATGGCGCACTCTCATCACAGCAGCTGCAGGATGCTGGGGTGGGTGTGGGTGGAGCCAGGGCCACTTCCTTTCCCCTTGGGGCCTCATCTACCCAGTCCTGCCCCAGCTTCAGGAAGAGTTGGAGCTGCCTACCCCAGCCCTGTGCCCTTATCAAGTGAGCAGGTAAGAGGGTGTGACTTGGGGGGCAGGGGTCTCAGTGGACCTGGGAATGTGCCTATGGCTTGGAAAGACCCTGATAGATGATGGGAAAAGGGGATCAGGAGCCATTGGGGCTGAAAAGGATCAGGGAAGGCCAGGAGGGGTGGCCACTGCTGGAGTGCCAGCTGCCAAGCCCAGAGGGGGCCTGTGGGAAAGGGCTGATGGGAGAGCTGCCGACATCTGTTCCCTTGCTATTTCTGATAATATAAAAGGAAGGGTGGAGAAAGCCGTTAAACTGCGGTTTAGTAGGCCTGGCAGTTGGCAGGGAAGTGGGCAGGAGGGAAGGGCCTGGTGAGGTGCCCTCCCACCAAAGCTCCTCATGTTCCATTTCTCCAACTTCTCCACCTCAGGTCCCGACTCCTGCTCATGCCTGTTGTCATGAAAATAACCCTGCTTCTCCTCCTCTTTGGGGGTGTCTGGTCCGAAGGGGTAGCTTTAACTACCCCTGAGGCCCCAAACCTTAGCTCAGCGACCTCCATCCATAAAGCAACAAGTGTTCCTGAGAAAAACGGCCACACCGGGCATCAGACTGGCACAATTCACTATGCAATCAGTGAGGTGTCCAGTCCTAAGACTTTTACTATCAGCAGTGGCCCCCCTGTATCTAAGCCAACAATCTCCCAGGAAGTCTCCACCAAGGAATCAACAACGGTCCTGGAAACCTCTACTGAAACCAGTAACCCTACTGTTTCAGCAATGCGCAGACCAGGGCCCCCGGATATGACTGGTGGAACCATGGCAGCTAGCCATCTGGACACCTTCAATGGGACCAGTGGACCCCCTGTCACTATGACAAATAGATCTCTGGAGGCATCCAATGGGACCTTCAATGGGACCAGTGGACCCCCTGTCACTATGACAAATGGATCTCTGGAGGCCTCCAGCTGGATCAATGGGACCATTGGACCCTCTGACATCATGACAAGTAGTTCTCTGGAGACCTCTGATGGGACCAGTGGGCCCCCTATCACCACTTTGGCAGCTAGCTCTCCGATGACCCCCAAAGGGACCAGTGGGTCCCCCATCTCCAGGGTAAAAATATCCACCATATCTACCCCAGAGCCGTCCACAAAAACAGGCAGTAGGCCCTCCCCAAGTTCAGATCAGGGGACAAATAACACCCTGCTGGTAGCTGTGTTTGTGGCCGTGCTGGTGGTCATTGTCCTCCTGGCACTGCTCCTGCTGTGGCGCCAGCGGCAGAAGCGGAGGACTGGGGCCCTGACCTTAAGCGGAGGCGGAAAGAGCAACGGGGTGGTAGATGCCTGGGTGGGGCCGGCCCGGGTGTCTGATGAGGAGGCTGTGATAACAACGGCCGGAGTGTCCGGTGGTGGCGACAAGGGCTCTGGAGTACCCGACGGGGAGGGGTCTGGCCGGCGGCCCACACTTACTACTTTCTTTGGTCGTCGGAAGTCACACCAGGGTTCCTTGGCCCTGGAGGAGCTCAAGGCTGGGTCAGCTGTCAGCATAAAAGGGGAAGAAGTGCCCCTGGTGGGCAGTGAGGATGGGGCTTTGGAGGCCCCCTCTTCCGATGAGCCAGAAGTGGGAAACGTGGAGGTCCTTTAGAGCCGGGGAGCACCAAGACTGGCGGTCAGAATCATTTCTAGTTTTCATCACCATCCCTCCAATCTTCAGTTCCCACCTCATTGTCACCCAGCCTCTTCACTCGGAACCCTCATCCAGCTTCTTAACCTGGGAACATCCCGCCAGCCCCGACACCCAACATGGGCCCCCAGCCCCAAAGGCAGGGCATGCACCCATTGAGTGCCTGAAGATGCACGAAGGGAACTTTCTCATCAACCCCACCTTCTCTCCATCATCTTTTGGTCCTTGAAACCAGATGCCGAGTCTCCATGATGCCACACTTCCTTGACTTACAATTTCTCAGAGGGTTCCCCAGGCACAGCAGAATCTGGGAAGAAGGAAACCACCAGCCAGCAAACTCCCATCTAGGATTTCTCTGGAAAGCAAATTTGGCCCCATAAGATTGGACAGACCTACTGGGTCACCCCATGAGCCTCCCTTATGTCCGGGCCCCAGGGCTCTGTGCCGGGCCAGCCTGGAGCATGGGCTGCGTGGTACCCTCCAGGTGTGCCTGCAGGAGCACCTGGGCTCTAAACTAGCCCCTGGCTCAAGCCACTGGACTCTCCCACACCTTGGACTGAGGCAGCCAAGGCCTTCAGCTATTCTCCTCCCAAAGGCAGAGGTGAGAAGGGTTTCTGGGCAGGCGTGGTCTCAGGAGCCCCAGCACCTGCGTGGGTTCACTCCTGGGTGCAGTATGTATGCAAAAGGCAAGGTTTCGGTGGTGTTTGTGAAGCGTAGCAGTGAATGTGGAGGGCAGGAGGGAGGGGCAGGAAGGGCTGAGGAACTGTGGAGAACATCGTGCCCGTCTGTGCTCAGATGAGGTGGAGGCAGCAGAGAGAACTGTGTCTGCGGCCCAGGAAGAGCATGCCGAGCTTTAGAGCAAGACCATATGTGTGACCCGAGTGTGGCTCTTTAGCTCAGCAGCTACATCCCTTCGTCACAGCCTCCCCTCCACATGACGCAGGAGGAAAGCACATCTGGTGGCCAGGTCTTGGTGACATGTGTCAGTGTGTTGTGCTCGTTGTCCTTCCCTTCTCTAAGGATCATCAGTGAGAGTGAGCCGAGGCTGCTGTGACAGACGGCAGACCCAGTGGCTTCCCCTATGGCTCTGGGATGGGCAGGAGAAAATGAGACCCAATGGGCTGTCTCTGAAAGCAGCCCAGGCCAGAGCCCAGGGGACCGCATGGGCCAGAGGCAGTTGGAATTGCCCCAGGGCAAAGAGGAAATTTGCAAAGAGGAAGTTGTTGAGTCACAGGGTGAAGTGGCTGAGAGCAGACCGATTGACCTACAAAAACAGAGGCCAGGGCCGACTGAGTGGCTCAGTTGGTTAAGAGCTCACTCAAGAGTGTGAGCTCTGAGCAACAGCAGTTTGATTCCTGGCCCAAGCTGAGTTGCCGCTGAGCTGCCAACAGGTAGCAGGATGGCTCAGCTAAAAAAACAAAAAAACAAAAAAAAATACAGAGGCCAGTGGGAACTGGGTGAGTGTGACTGCCATGTGGCCTGGGCCAGAGGGGAGGCAGGAGACAGGGAAAGGGCCCCGAGGGTCAGGTCAGGAGGCGAAGGAGAGAAGGGCAGTGAGCAGCTATGTATCCACCTGGCCACCATGGGCCTGTGCCTGGAGTGGGAATCCAGCCTTCACCAGCCAGGCTGGGCACCCATGGGGCCATGTTTGGGCGTCTTTTCCTACTTCTCACAAGGCACCTTGGCCTGACTGTAGCCCCAGACCAGCAGACACGTCCCAAAAGTTCCTGAGGGATAACCGCAGCTGTCGTCTTAGATTATCAAACGCCCCAATTCAGCTTTAGAAAATATTCAAGAGTTTGAGCTCTGAGCAACAGCGGTTCAATTCCTGGCCCGAGCTGAGCTGCCAACAGGTGGCAGGATGGCTCAGCTGGTGAGACCACATGCTCCTAACAACAAGGTTGCCATTTCAACTCCCGCATGGGATGGTAGGTTACGCCCACCCGCAACTAAGATTGAAGGACAACAATTTGGCCGTTCCCCTCCCCCAGTTCCCCAACACTGTTCCCCTTCTCCAATTCCCCAATAAAATCTTAAAAAAAAAAAAAAAAAAAGAGACACCTGGAGAAAATTATGTTTAGGAAGAAAGGAGTTTGGAGAAGGGCTTTCAGGAGCAGGTCTGGACTCGAGTGAGGCAAGCAAGGTACTGAGGTGCCAAATGGACCCTGACAGTGAGGCTCCCTCAGTTTGTGTCTCAGAACTCTCACATGTGTCACCCAAGTTTCAGTCCTGGTAGGGTCACGTGCTACAGAGAAAGAAATGGGAGAGGGCTTGGAAGATGCCTGTGGATTGTCAATCAGTGGTCCTAGGCTTTAGCAAAATGGCAAAAAAGGGGCCACAGACTGGACTTGACCAGCTCCAGGGAGGCCAATCCAGCATGGAGGCCTTAGAGGCTTAGAGAGCAGAAGTAACACCATCATAAAAATTCCTAATTGAAAGCAAGTCATGGCTGGTAGTCACTTCCTAGGCCTGTAGCTTCCTTGACAAGGGCAACTTCTACCTTAAGGAAGCCTGTCTATTGTCTGCATTTAAGATGACATACCTTTGAAATGTCAGAGTCATCTGCTTTTCCAGACCAGTGCACGGGACTACAGACCTCCTCCCTCTCATCTTGTTTCCCACATAACATCTCCATGTGCCGCAAATGTTAATTGTTAACTATCCTGGACCCACCAATGTAAACGAAGTGTGTGTCTCTCTGTTTTACTTTTTATCTAATCCCAGAGATTTCCCCGCTTTGCTTTCTCCCGCCCCCTTCATCTACCACCAATGGATTTCACATAACCCTCCTTACATCTCCTCCTTTGAATCTAATGTATAAAATAAACTGCAAAACTGCCATTCTTTGGAGCATTTTCTCAAATTGTTGAGGTTTTGCTTCCCGGCAATTATTGTCAGTTGAGCTCAAATAAACTCATAAAAATTCTCTAAAGGTGTGGATGTTTCTTAAGTCGACAACACGCAGTTTCCCATGAAGGAATGGAGGCCCGGCAGTTCTTGAGCAGAAATTTGCCAAAAGTCCAAATGCAGCTTACTGGCAGTTTCCCAGTTTTTCTGTCCAGAAGTCCAGCTCCGATCTGCCGGTGCCTTTAAAGTACCTCAGGGGAAAGGAAGGCCAGGGAAGTGGACAGTGTTGTTTCTGCTCTGTGTCACTCGCAGTTCACTTAATTCCTGTTTGAACCCAAGAGGTAGGTACTACCCCATTTCACAGAGAAGGAAACTGAGGTGCAGAAAAAGGTTAAAAAGGTACTTGAGATAAAAAAGGATGGAATTAGGATTTGAACCCAGGTCTAAGGCCCCAATTTTCCTAGTGCACCAGCAAAAAAGCTTTCCAGCCCTGGCAAGGGAGCACATTTTTGCTTTCATGGCCTTGCACCTCCGGGAGAGCTTGGTGTGTGGGGAAAGCAGGGCTTCTGGCTCAGAGAGGAGAGTTACACAACAGAGCTCCCCCTCTGAGTGTGGAAAACAGACCAGGTAAGTACAGCTGCAAGGGTTCTGGATGAGGGCAGGAAGGAGTCCCAGAGAACCTGGGAAGAGCTGATGGGGGCTGGTTAGACTGGCTCCTCCCTTCCCTCCCTCTGGCAGCCCCACCCCCAGCCTCAGGTCTCTGGGAACTTAGGATCTGAGCAGCTGATGCAAGCTGAGCAGCTCCAAGCTGTCATGGACCCTGAAGGTAAAGGAGCCCCCAGACCTGTCTCCTCTGTGTTCCCACACCACCTGCACCGCCATCTCCCTAGCCCTCCTGCCCCCTCCCCGTCCCAGCTTATCTCAGACCCTTATCCCTCTACCCCCACCAGAAGACCAAGTCTCTTGTCCCCATCTACTCCTTTACCTCTCCCATCTCCCTCCAGCCTCTCTGAACCCCAAGCATTCCTTTCTGTACCCCAAAGGCCTCTTCTCACTCTTCTTTCTCTTCTCTTCTGGGTGGGTCCCAAGGAGCTCTGGGGAAGAAAGGGGTTTGAGCCCCAAGAAAAGTCAGAGGTGGTCAGCTCCTGGGAAGCTGGATGGGAGAACAGCTCTGGACTTTGTTCCTGGCTAGCAGCCTGGGGTGCGGGGGTTGGGGGGGAGATGGCGGTGGGGGGGAGGTGGAGTGTAGGCAAAGTCCTGTGGCATCTGCTCCAGTGGGGGAGGGAGCTTGAGTCCAGTGACCCTCTGCCCGGGTGGGGTGGGGGTGATGCTGCTAAGGAGGCTGTATGCAGGACAATGGGGGCCAGGCTCCTGGTCAGAGGCTCCTGTTTGATCCAGGCACCACCGGGAACAGGTGTGTGACCTCAGGTAAGTCACCTGACTCCTCAGAGCCTCATTTCCTGACATCTGTAAAATGACAATAACAGTTCCTGGCTCACCTAGATGTGTGGATGGCTGCCCCCTCGGTGAGCTCTCTGCATTCTCACTGGGCTCCTTCTCCAGGTCTGACCCGCCTCCTGGCTTGAGGCTTCTGCTGGCCCTGCACCCCCAACCCCTTTGTTTGGCCATGGAACCAAGCTCTTGGGGGTCCCAATAAGCTCTTGGTTTAGAAATGACCTCAGAGCCTGGGTTCAAGACCCATTCCAGCCACCTGCTGGCTGTGTGACCTCAGCCAAGACGCTTGGCCTTGCTGTGCCTGTTTCCTCATTTATAAAGTGAAAACAGTGCCTTCCCTCAGGCTCGGTCAGGATCAAAAGATGATGTAGGTGGAGTGCCAGGCACTCAGGACCACTAGGCGGTAGTTACGCTGGTGATGTTGGCCCCTGACATCTGTCTCTCCAGCGCTAAGCCCTCCCTAGGTCCCAGCTTCCTGTGTGGAAGCCTGTGTGTCTGTCTCCCCGCCATGCCAAACTCGGTCCTCCTCCCATACCAGCTCCATTTGTGTTCAGGCCTCACCCTCCTGCTACTCAGACTGGACACCTCAGGGTCAGCTTTCACTGCTTGCTCTCCCTTGCACCCCAATATCTAAGCAATTGCCTTGTCCTGTGAACTTACCTCCACGTCATCCCCTGTGCCTCTTCTATTCGGGCCCCACCTCCCTCTGGGGGAGCAGCCTGGTGGGGGCTCCCTTTGCGTTGCTGCTGTCGTGCATGCGATGACACCTGGTGTGTAACTCAGATGGGCTGGCGCTGGGGTCCCTGAGCTACGGGAATTAAACCAGGAGGGAGTAGATACCTCAAGAGGGTGAGGCAAAGGCTGAGGAACTGGGGGAAAGAAGGAGCGAGGGCGAAAGAAGGGGCGAGGGCGGAGCTGGGTCCAAACAGATTGCCAGCTGGTGAGCAGAGGCGGGGAGGTCAGACTTGGTCCAGGTGCGAGCCGGGTGGGGCCAGCGGGGCGGGGCCAGCGGGAGAGTCTGCCCACGTGGGGTGCAGGCGGAGGGCCCTGTTTCTTACAGCCGTGGGAGGAACGCCCTCCCATTGCACTTCACCCTGGCTTACTCGCTATTTCCTGCCCAGATCTTGCAACAGCCAGGCACAGTTGAAATATTTCAACTTCAAAGTCCATTTTTGATCACGTGACTTCTCATCCAAAGTCTTAGTGATTTCCCAAGTCCTGATGAACAAAACCCTCTCTTTCCTGCCATTCGAGCCCTGCTCAGGCGGTCCCCATCCCACCCAGCTCGCGCTCGCCATAGCCCTCTCTCTCTCTCCCTCTCCCTCTCTCTTCTCTCTCTCCCTCTCCCTCTCCCTCTCCCTCTCACTCCCCCTCTCCCTCCCCCTCTCTCTTTCTCTCTCTTTCTCGGTCACTACTCTAATTGGTCACTACTCTAATTGCTCGGAAATTCTGTAGACCGCTTGTGTGTTGGTCAATTTGCCTTTGGCCCTATCTTAGGTCATTTCTTAGGGTAGAGAAAGGGAAAGAAAAGACGATTAATCTGGGAGCTGCTAACCAGCCTCAGTCTCCACCTGGTGTTTCCCAACTGGACCGACAGATAACTAGATGGAAGAACAAAGCCCAGAGTCAGACTCCTGGGTTCAAAGACAGCCGGCCAGCCATTGGCTCAGGCACTTTATGCAAATCACCTCATTCCGTCCTCCTGTGCGGCCCTGGGGCTTCCTCAGGAACTGACTTCAGAGTTTAGCAAACTGCAGAGGTTGCCCAGGGTAAGGGTAGTGGAGCCAGCATCCCAATCCAGGCATTTGGCTCCCAATCCTACTCCACCGGACAGAGCCCCGGAACCCTGACTGTGGCCCTAATGAACACATAATAATTTAAAAATATAATTTAGTTTAAAATTAAATGGCAGTGTGATGAGGTGGGGTAAGTGAGGGGACTCTGGACTCCATACTTCCCAGCTGTGTCAACTTTGGGCAACTTACTTGGCCTTCCTGTGCCTCAGTTTCTTGATCTGTAAAATGGGGATACTAGTACTATGCTCATAGGGTGGTTGTTAGGATTAAGTGTGTTAATATATATATATGTGTGTGTGTGTGTGTGTGTATGTGTGTATATATATGTGTGTGTGTGTATATATATAATATATATGTGTGTGTATATATATATTATATATTATATATATTTATATATATATATATATATATATATACACAATGCTTGAGACAGTGCCCAGGAAGGAGAGTAAAAGTATTTAGGTATTATTATTACACATTATGTCATTCCTGATTCTATGATAGACAAGTGGTAGTAGGCACCAGGGTTTTAAGAAAAATGTATCAAGGCAAAACCTTGAAAATTGACAACTTCTAGCTAAGTTAATGTTTCCTATAAGTTAGGGGAAACTGTCATTACCTGGTTTTAGCCGGAAAGCTCTGTAAGCCTCATATAACACCACTGTTGTTATAAGCACGGTAACATAGTTACACATCCAATTAAGAACAAAAATTTGTGGGGCAGCTGGTTGACTCAGTTGGTTAGAGCGCAGAGCTCACAACACCAAAGTTGCCAGTTCGATCCCCACATGGGCCACTGAGCTGCGCCCTTCACAACTAGATTGAAACAACTACTTGACTTGGAGCTGATGGGTCCTGGAAAAACAAACTGTTCCCAATAAAAAAAAAAAAAAAAAGAACGAAGACTTGTTATATTCATTGTAGGTCCATTTCGAGAGCCTCCCTTTGTGACCACCCATTAAAGTCATGATCAAGTGTTTGTTAAATTATTGAAGGAAAGCTGGAACGTGGAAATTCTGCTCCCTCCCGGCAAGGAATTTCTGTCCGGTTAGGGGAACACAGAAACAGGGAAAAGATCAGCAAAAGTGCCAGTGGGGAAAATCTTTCTATATTGTGCCAGAACCTTCAGTTTATCTGTATCCTTTTATGTCATTTGTATAGAGAGAAATGCAGGAAATATGCCACAATGCTTTTGTATCCCCTAGAAACAGAGATGCCAATTTTAATAAAACTCTGGACAACCAGTTAAGAAGGAATTGCCTTGAGAGAGGAAAGTTACACCCCACAGGGTCAAACTATAACCTCAGAAGTCTGGCCATCTTGTGAGAACTCTTTATTTATTTATTTATTTATTTATTATTTTTATTGGGGAACAGTGTGTTTTTCCAGGACCCATCAGTTTCAAGTCAAGTAATTGTTCCAATCTAGTTGTGGAGGGCGCAACTCAGTGGCCCATGTGGGAATCGAACTGGCAACCTTGGTGTTATGAGCACTGTGTTCTAACTAACTGAGCTAACCGACCACCCCTTAAGAGAACTCTTATATTTAACAACTGCAAAGGCAGAAAGCAGGTCGGGGCAGTACAGCTGTCCTCTCTGTGTAGCAGCTTCCCCCAAGCCCTCTGCACCAGCCTTCCTCAGGCAGTGGCAGAAACAGCCGTCCCCTCCCAAGTCCCTTTCATTCACAGCTGCTGATTAGGAGAGCCCGTATTTGCAAAGCTCCCCGCAGGAATCCCTTTTGTTGAAAATGCATCAGAACAGGACCTTAAAAAAAAGCAGACCCAGACGTATTTATTTCTTTTTCACACACATAACATTCTGCCTCTACAATAGGCAGTCAGAATAATTGATGGGAGCAATTATTTGGGTTGCAAGAGAGTAACCCCTGCTGGTTGTGGGTTTCTACAGGCACCCAACTGCAGAGGAGAAGAGCTGTGTCCATGTTGGTCATTTTCTTGTCTGCCCTTTCGGTAATTTCCCTTTACATTCCTGAACCTCAATTCTCCATCTATAAACACGAATGATCTCTACCTTAAAGAACGGTGGGTAGGATCTGTGACTGCCCAGCAAGTGCCTATATCCTGTAGTGGACGGCAGCTTTTCTTCTCCAGCAGCTCAGAAGCTCTGGGCTATGCTACAAATTAGAATCCTGTGACCACACTCCAGACCAGTTATATCAAAATTGCTGGGGGTGGGGCCCAGGCATCAGCGTTTTGCAACGCTCCCCAGACAATTCTATTGTGCAGCCAAGGTTGCGAACCACCACTCTACCCATTCTAAAATACTTTCCTTGACCCTTTCTCAAATGAGGGCCCTCTCTTTCTTCCTTTCTTCCCTTCCTCCCTCCCTTCCTTCCCGCTTCAACTGTTTTATCATTATTATTATTATTATAGAGAATGTGAAACATACACAAAAGTAGACAGAAAGCCTGATGAACCCTCATGTACCCATCATCCAGCCGCAACAACCATCACCTGTGGCCAGTCCAGCCCCACCCACCTCCCTCCGACTTCCTACCTTCCAGGATTACCTTAAGGCAAAACTGGCTCTCCAGTCTTTTCATATGTTAACTTCTCAGCATGTATTGTCTAAAAGAATAAGGACTTTCTTTTTATTACAATCACAATACAATTTTCACAACTAGATTTCTAAAAAAAAAAAATCCTTTCATGTCATTAAATATCCAGTGTTCAGATTTTCAGTCGTCTCATAAATGTTTCAATTTGCTTTCAATGTGTATGTTTGGATGAGGATCCAAAAAAGAGCCACACACAGCGATTGCTTAGTATGTGTTTTAAGATTCTTTTTTTTTTAAACTTTTTAATTTTTATTTATTTCTTATTGGGGAACAGTCATGGTCATTGGTTACACATTGCTTTCATGCTACAATGGCATAGCTGACTCTTTTAAGGAGGGTGCAGCTCACAGTGGCCCATGCAGGGATCAAACCAGCAACCTTGGTGTTATCAGCACGATGCTCTAACCAACTGAGCTAACAGGTCACCCCTGTTTTAAAATCCTTTTAATCTTTGTTTTCCTTGCCATGTATGTGCTGAGGAAATCAGGTTATCCTCTGGTAGAGTTTCCTTCGCTCTGAATTTTGCTGCTTGTATGCCTGTTGGATACTTAAGTCCCCCTGTTCTCTGGTTTTCTTGTAAATGGGTGGTTGCATCTAGAAATCTGACTCTGGTACAGCCATTTTGGCAAGAGTGTCATACGGTGGTGGTGTCCCCCCTCCCCTCCTCCCCGTACTGGCAGCATCCAGCGTCTGGCTGTTTTGCTTCTTGGTTTTTTTGTTTGTTTGTTTTTTATTGGGGAATTGGGGGGATGGGAACAGCGTTGGGGAATTAGGGGAAGGGGAACAGATAAGTTGCTGTCGTTTTGTTCTTCAGTCTAGTTGTAGAGGACATTGCTTCACTGGCCCATGTTGGTATTATCATTGCACTCTTCCTGGGTGAGGCAGATCAGTCGCCGGCTTCTGGATGGCCACTCACTGCGGCTGCTGGCCGCTCACGCTGGCTGCTGGCCGCTCATGCTGGCTGCTGGCCGCTCATGCTGGCTGCTGGCTACACACGGTAG